ATCCATCATCACATAAGAGACAGTGTCGATCAGGCTGCAGACGTACCATTTGCTTGTGATATACCTTGGGGCCATGGCTGCGGTCATTGCTCAGCAGCCCTGCTACTGCACATCAGAGTTTGGAAGTCCTTCTTTGCCCTCATTGACTGCAAAAGGTTCACATGAATCTCTTTTCTGGGCTGCCTGGACCCGAAGGACTATGGGCGTTTTGTGGAGATGGGCAGGAACTGAAAACACTCTCCATCCTCAGCACTGAGTCAGAGCTACCACCTCCAAGACTGGCACACAAAGTGGGCCAAGTATCAAACATCTAGACTGTGTTTGCCCCAGACACAGACTTTGGCCTCACCCACTATGGCCAGCCTGGCCCAGGACCCAGCCGCCCTCTGCAAATCCACTGTCTTATCAACAGGATCTCAAGCAAGAGCTGAAGGCTTGGGTCCTCGTAACCCGTGTTGGGAAGGGGGTGACAGCAAGACTGCTTAGCCCTTTGTCCAGAGAAGGGGACTGGAAGTAGTCTCACTCCTTCCCCTCCTGGCCCCACCCTACATCACTGGATACTTAGGAGACCCCATGAGGTCGCATCTCTGCCCCTCCCCACCAGCAGAACCAAAGGGTGTTCACTGTGGTCTGGCTCTGGCTTGTCCTTTTGTGCCAAGGAAGCCAAACAAAGCAATGCTATGTCCAGACCCCAGAGTGCTCTCGGCCCTGGGACAGCTCTCCACAAACGTGCCTCAGGCTTCTAGGGCTCCCTTCACGCAGTGTTAACTCAAGGTTGGCTTCTCTCATTGGCGTGTAGATTGCTGCCTTCTCGCTGTGTCCCCACAGTCTTCGCTCTGTGTGTGTCTGCATCCAAATCTCCTCTCTTCTAAGGGCCCCCGCCATGCTGGATTAGTCATGCTAGATTATGGTCCATCCATGTGACCTCATTTTACCTTAATCACCCTTTTAAAGGCCCTATATGCCAATGCAGTCAACACTCTGAGACCCTGGTAGGACTTTAACATGTGAATTTGGTTGAGGGGGCGGGGGTGCACAGTTCAGCCCCTAACATGTACCGACCTGGCTTCCCTCCCCCTTCCTAGAAGCTTGTTTATGCTACAAAGAGTTCATTACCAAACTGGCTGCTGTCAACTGGAAACAATGTGTGCCCAGAAATGACACGTGATATGCCACGGCTGTTAGAGGAATTGGAGGGAATCCTACCCAAACGCACAGGACAGCCTGGGGTGGCATATTTCACAGCACAAAGCCTGCTCACATGCCTGCAATCTTTGATCCTCCAACCCACTCAGTGAGGGAGGCTGGGGAGGTATTAATCAATGAACACAGATTAATTTATGGGATGACGAGATGCAGAGTAAGTTGCCCAAGGTCACACAGCTAATTACGGCCCAAGTCTTGAGACGCCAGGAACATGCTCCTTCGACTACCCCTCGTGGTCCCCTGTGCAATAAAGGGACGCCTGGAATACGATTTCACAGCAGTTCCTTCAAGTTAAAATGTGTTTATCATCTTGCATAAGTTATGACCCCAACCTTCCCACAAGAAGATCGTATCACAATAAAAAACACACATGGTGCAGGTGGCTAACATGATTTATTAAATTTTCTCAATTTCATGTATAGGAAGTTCCTCCACACAGGAAAATTTCCTAAATATTGAAAACATATGTACATAGGACAAAGCTCAGAGAAAAAAAGAAGGTTTATTATAATACATCACACATAATAAATGTTTTTTTAACAAAGTCTGTATGAACTTTCCACATTAATCAAAAGTGAATGCTGCATGATTTTGTATAATTAACCAGGAAGTCATATTACAAGTGATAAATATCACAGACAATAAAGTGAAGCGAACGAATATTGACCTTAAGTGCTCATTAATAATGCGGGGTTTTTGATGGTCCACAATGCAATTATTACTTAGTTAATTGAAGGGTCAAGTTTCCCAAAGATTAATAATTAGACTTCCAGTGGCCTGTTCATCAGAGGTTTAATAAATGCTAAAAGAGGCCCCTGTAGGCTCCCTTCATATCTGAGCCAGAACCTCAGCCCTTTGATTTCCTGCTGTCCTTGCAAAGCTAGGGACTTGAGAGAAGGGAGCATATTCCAGGCTGGGAGAGCCCCCGGGATGCTCTGGCTATCACTAGAAAAAGGTGTGCTTGACACCCATGCCAAAGACTTGAACCTTGACTTTGGGAATGAGGGGCTGTCTCAACCACATTCGTGGAGGGCAACAGGCCTCACCAGAGTCCGGGACCTCCAGGATGGATGCTGCCCCAGCCATGGCGAATGAGACAACTAAGAAAGATGCTAATGGCGCCTAGAGAAATTCACACAATGACTTTGTGTTTATCCGATGTGGGAAAAAATATATCCTCGCCAGTCAAAAAATCCCATCTCCTTTTCTGTATCTTTTTGGCCAACAACCTCCTCCGTGACCCAAATTCAGAATGCCCCTACCTCTTCAGCAGTCTCCTGTCCCCACCGTGACAATGAAAACCCTACTGAGGAGTAGGACCCAGTGCCATTTGTACTGTTTCAGGCAGACAATGTGCCCAATGAGCCTGCATATCCCAGCCTTTGAGCTTGACCCCTGAGCTCTCCTGCTCTCCTGCTCTCATGACACGTTGACCTTCATCCATTCTTCAGAATTCAGTCGAACTACCACCTGGTCCAAAATACCTTCCTGCTCAATCTCAAAATCCAAGTTGCGTCTTCTGTACCAACAGCACATGACTCGCCTCTCCTTTATGGCAGTCAGCTTGGACGGTAGACATGGGTCTTGTCTTCCTCCTGCGTCCCTGCACTCTAGAAGCTACCTGTGGGCTGGGCTGGGTGACCCTCACTCCATCCTGCACATTCTCAGGTTACGGTACTGCTACTGCTTATGGTAGGTGTGAATTAAAGTGTGGTGAATTGGATGTGTAGGTGGGGAGAGAAGATTCCATTCTGAGTTGCAGGGGCAGGTTGAGTGGAGTGCAGATGAATGGGGGGGGCCCCAGGGTCCACGATAGGCATGTCACAGAGCAGCTCCCCAGAGAAACCTGGGAGAGTGAAAGATGCCCACCTTGATAAGTGAAAGACAGCTGGGGACTTTAGGATGGCACGGCATTGGAAACAGCAAAATGTCCAATGGTAAGGGATCAGTTTCATAACTAAGGCACATACACTCAACAGAAGATTGCAGAATCATGTTGTAGTAAGAATACAGCAGCATGCAAGGTAGAGCCACAACTGGATGAGAAAACATAGAGCCAGAGGACAGCCTGATGCACAAAAATGCGAACAGTGGTTGTGGCTGGGGGGGACCACAGCTGACATTTTCAATTTTACAATTTCTGCTTCTCCGTATGTTCCGAGTTTTCTAAAATGAATATCTGCTGTATGAGGAGAAAAGAGGTGGGGTGGGATTCACCCTCGGCTCCGTGAGGGCGACAGAAATCACTATAAAAATTCAAGGAACTGGTCATGTGCTCTGAGCCAAAGTACATGTGGCAGCTGAGGACCCAGAGGAAAGGCCGGGCCAGGAGCATCCCTGGGCCTCCTGAACAATTCGGAGCTACGCCTCCTTGAGCAAGTGAAACACAGAGGCATTTCAGAAAAGCCGGAGCAAAGTGCTGGAAGTGCAGTTCCCCCTTCGTCCTCCTCCACGGCCCTGCTCCCACTTGCGCAGAGCCAGACCCAAGCCAGAGGCCACGGGCTAGTACCTGGGCCATCCCTCCACTGTCACCCACCTCCGGGCCTGTCCGCCTTCTCTCTGGGACAACCGCACTCCTCCCGCCAGAGGCAAAGCCAAGCCGAGAGCGCCCGCTCCTTCCCCACTCGCTCCTCCCCGCACTCAAGAACTGAATGTCCCTGCCATGGTGTGTTGGAAGCAGTGACCCAGAGGTGAAAATTCCTCGTGCCGTAACCAATCCCTTGGGCCAGTCAGTCACCTTTATTTATGGTTCCTGTAAAAAGACCGTGCTGTGAATTTCTACTCTCCCTCATATGCCCACTAATGAGATCTCATTTCATATGGGCTTGTCTCCACCTTTTGGGGGACCCACAACTTTCGAGCGCCCACAAAAGGCAGCAGCCCTCCGCAGAAGGCTTCATGGGTCGGAAGGGGCCTGGCCGATCTGTGGGGTGCAAACTCGAACCCCTCTCTCATGGTACTGAGTATGCCCATGCCCACCAAGAGTGTCAGATTTCAAGCCAAAACCAAACCAGAAGAAATGGCATCCTGGCAGCACCAGATTTTATGTCTTGTTTTTATTTCCTTAACTTGTCTTTCAGCGTAAACCGTCGATGTTGTTATAAGAGGTCAGTATATGCCGGAGCACCACCAAACTATTTAGGCTTAAAATGACACTACTGTTTAAGACCCAGTAATTTTCAGAACACATGATTTACTGTGGTGGCGTTCTACAGACTCGTTTCATACCTCCAAGAAGGACTAGTCAAAGTGTTAAATAAACATGAAGTCTGTGCCTTGTTTTCTTTCCAAAAGTGCAAACATTGTGTTGCTCTAATGATTAAATACCGCTCAACACACAACCAAGTAACTATTTCACAGTTGTCTCTTTCCCGTGGCTTCATTTTATGTATTAATTATTTTGTGTTCAGACAAGGACTTTAATTAGGAGTCATAAAGGGTTTCTGAAGAGTGAATAAGTAGTTTCATCCACATTAAAGTGATAATAAACAGACATTTCTAAAACAAGGAGGTGCCCATGTGCAAGCCTTAGCTAAGCCCGAATCTATTAACCACTAACTAAACTCAGACTCATAAAATATTGTTTGGGGATGTTACATGACAGTAAAAAAGATTCAGATTGCCTTTAGGTCCTTACAGAGGAAATAAATTCATTGAAGTTTGGTGGATTTTAAAGGTTGAAACTTGCCTTTGAATGTGAAAAATTCAACTAATGTTATCTTAAGCTGCTAACACTGATTATTAAAAATTGTTTGTTTGGTTCTCTGAAATGACAGTACAAAAGCAAAAAAAAATTAATGTAACAGCTTTTTAAGGATAAGAGGCAAATATATGTGCACTTGATTACGATGAATCTGGAGGGAAAAGAGGAAAGAGAAAAGAATTCTGCCCATTAGGCTGAAAGTCCAGTCTCTATTCTCTGAGATGGAAACCACGTTATCAACAAGGTCTCGCCCGCTGAGACTCTGAGAAGCAACGCATCGTGCCTTTCTTAGCTACTTGTGTTGGGAAGGTTTGGCTTCAGATGCTAGAGCAGCCTCCCTTCTCCAGATGCCACTCAGACACCATGCCTGGTGTCCCCACCATCAGTCAGCAGTGTGCACGGGAGGACCCACGGTGGATGCGTATTCACCTTTATTCTTGGCGTTATTCTGCATATTCATCTGGAGCTTGGGGCCATCTGACCAGTCGGTGCTGGTCAGGTGTTGTTGGCTGCTGCCCTAAGTTCTCAGAACCCAACGATCCTTTTACGGAGCATCCCGTCAGGGTCTCCAGTGCTGGGAGAGGCGGGCTGTCTCCTATTTAAGCTTTGAGAGCGAGCACACGTTGGGATCACCTGCCCAGGGAGCTGCCCACCCTCCCAGCCAATTCAATGCCCTCCCAGCCCCCACGGGGCCCACCTGACCCCCCCACACACATCTCAGGTGGGGGTCTTCCCTCATTGACCTGCATGACCCCAGTCTCACCCACAGTCGGCACAGATGAAAACTAGTCAAATGAACGGAAATGAGTCTCCTTCAGCCTCTAGCACCCGGTGGTATTTTGGCTGAATGTGGAGCAGGGAGGGGGCCCGGCCACCAGCGCTGCCCAGTCAGTGGCTCCTGTCACCTTCCCCTCATCAACACCACCTCGTCCTGCGCTGGCTTCCTCACGGACAGGTTCTTCTTCACAGAGGGATCCGCCCCGCCACACGGGGCCAAAGCTGAGTGAGGCAAATAACGGTGCTCTGAACAGCTGGCCGTTCAGTTTCCAGCCCTCGCCTGAGCCACTGACCAGTCGAGGGCTCCAGGCCGGGTGGGGACAGCCACCCTCCTCAGACCTCGTCGCCTGAGAACGCTGACTGTGGGGTGCAGACCAAGAAGGAGAACCGGTCACCCCGAGAGGGGCAGCGGGTCCCCAGGGATGCCGGTGGCTGGCACCGAGGGCGCTGCCTCCGTCTCCTTGCTGCCAGGCCGCCCCGAGTGTCTTACACCGGGAACAGCCTGTCAATCTTGCCGTTGTCTTCAGTCTCGTCTTTAAGGAGAAAGGCTTTGAAGGCCTTTGTTTCTGCTGCCGGAAGAACTCTGGCCTGAGCACACGGAGGACCGGGGCCTGGGACCCCAGCCCTCAGGATGTCAGGGACAGGACACGTCTCCATGTGCACATGTCATTAAGATAAATCTAAGTTGCCCAGGATGTAAGCAAGGGAAGGAGTGACGGCCGAATGTGGTCTTCCCTGGGATGAGAGTTTCCGAGGAGCTGCAGGTAAGGACGTTACCCTTGTCAGGTGAGCACAGTCAGTTGGCAGCTGTAGGTGATTAAACCAGAACATCACTTAAGGATTCCTGGCCATCAGCAAAGATGGGCTTGGTGGGAGAAGGAACCGAGGCTGGGACCTGGGAAGTCCGGTGCCTGAGACAAGCTATTCCATGCGCATCACCTTCACTGTCTATTAAAAGCAAGTCGCACTGCCTACGTGGGGCCACGGTGAGGAGTGTGTGAGATGGTCCCAGACAAGCCTAATTCGACTACTGTTTGTCTCCTCAAATGCACCGGGCAGGCTGTCCACTCCCAATTTAAATCCTTATAGGACACTGCTCTGCATACCTCCCTGACCTCTACCCTGTGCATAAATGCATTGTACAGAAGTCAGCTCACAAGTGCGCCCAGATCGTGAGCATAGATGCCCATGGCAGCAGCTTTATAGAAGTGTAGGGCTGGAAATAACATGAGTGTCCATCAGGAGGGGCTGGTAAAGAGACAACCACGCCGTGGCCCTGCTGTGCACACGGTGCAGCCGGCAGCGAAATGGGCTCACAGGAATGACGTCCAAGGGAGGGGAAGCAAGCTTGCAAAGCAGTATGTACAGTAAGGTCCCATTTGTTCAGGAAGACGAAAAGAGGCAGACGGACAGACAGAATGACAGATGGAGAAGCGCTCACTGACACACACCTGTGCACAGAAAATAAGATTACCTCGCATTTGGCTCCTTTCGTGTTGTATATAAGACACAATAGAGCCAAAAGAGAAGTTTCCTACTGTTGGAGCAAATATCTTTGCATCTTGTCTTCATCGAACAGAGAGAGAACAGGTCAGTGTAGAAGAATGTGTGGTGACACACCCAGGAGAGAGAGGGGAGGAAGAGAGTGGGGGTGGGGGTGGGGAATAGAGAGTGCAGGAATGAGGAAAGTACAGACAAAACAGCCAGATCAGGACGCGGCTGTGCTCACATGAGATGTAAGACACAGTTAATTGTACGTCACCATCTTCTTTGTGTCCGCAAGGTGTTCGGGCTGTGGCTAAACCCCAACGACATCTAGCGCACACGAATACAAAGAGCCAAGCATGAAACAGGCCAATTAGGAACCCAGAGTGGAGATTAAAGAAAAAAAAAAAAAACTAAACAAAAACAAAACAAAAACTGTAATACAACAGTGAATATATTCAGAAAATGTCAGTTGCCAAATGTTTGTACTTGGAATTCCACCTCCACTTGGCTGGAAATGTCCATGGATCCCAGAACGCTGGAATAAAACTCCATGTGGTTCCATTTTTATGGGTGAATCTGAAACCAGGTGGTTCCAGAAAGAGAGTTCCCACAGCCCTTGCCCTCCTGTGGTTTCTCCGGATGCTTAGCATGGTTTCCGAAAATGAAATTACAAACATGAATCTCTTCTATGCAAGCAAACTTTCATACCAAGTATGCCAATTACAGGCTTGTCGTTTTCCCTTTGTAAACCCCAATTTTTAGCCATAAAAAATGTGCTTATGATACAACTTTTTGAGCTCAAAAGAATCAATTGTGGAGTTTTTTCGGGGGGGGGATGGGACTTGCAAATGTCTTCTTAACTCCCTTAAGGAAAAACAAACACAAGTTAATTATTCCTAGTTTTGATCATAATTCAGTGATTCTCTAACAAGTTATTTCTAAATTTGAAAAAATGTTAAGCCATAAGATAACCTTTACTAAATTATTAGTAGAGGGTCTCCCGGAGATGGAGAGGGTAGGAATGAGTTTGTGGGGAGGGAAGCAAGGATTTTATAAGACAGGGCAAACAAGGAAGTGTGTGAAATATCTCACACTGTTTGGGAAAGAGCACATGTGTGTACTGATGCTAAGTCTGTGCCCCTGCGGATGTGTCTCTGACACCCGGGCACCGCGGCGCTGGGGAAACAACAGGCTTTGAAACCAAACTTGGAATTGTCCGTCATTAGGGGTATTAAACTATATTCTTAACATTATTTCAATGGAGGCTCTTTTGTGCGGTTTAATATAGCCATACCTTTTTCCAACAGCCACATACTCTAACTTTGACACATTTAAAGATGGAAGATCTACAGGGAAATGTAGAATCAAGAGCCATAAGACACTGGGTTACAGTTCATGAGAATTTGCAATTTAAGTGTATGATGACTGAAAAAGAGATGTAGATGCATCAGGAAATGTATCTTTCAGCCGCTACATCTACACGTAGGTTAATTAAGTCACCAGCGTTCTGCGGAGGAAAGTGTAAAACACCGCGATCAAGTGAACTCTCCCGCAGGGTTACACAATTTATAACCCGCACCATCCTTGGAGGAGGACGTGGGGGAGCGGCTGCCTCTGGCAGGCTTTCAAAGAGCCCGTGGAGGAGGAGGGAGCCGGCCTGGCAAAGCCGCCCTCCCCTGCTCAGCAGGCCGCCCTGTGCTCCCGCTGCCTCCCGCCCTGCGCTCTGCCCTCTGGGCGGCCAGGGATGGGGCGTGTGCTCAGAAAGCACGGAGAACAAAGAACCAACTCAGTTGGTTAAGCGTCCACTTTGGCTCAGGTCATGATCTCACGGTTTGTGGGTTTGAGCCCTGTGTCGGTCTCTGTGCTGACAGCTCAGAGCCTGGAGCTGCTTCTGATTCTCTCTCTCTCTCTCTCTCTCTCTCAATCTCTCTAAAATATAAATAAAACATTTTAAAAATTTAAAAGGAAAAAAGAAAGCACAGAGAACCACCAGCAGCACAGGGCATGCATCTCCAGAAGGCAGGCAAGGGCACAGGCCCGCCGGCTGGCATCCCCCACAGAGTGACGAAGGGCACCGGCTGCCTTTGGCCCCAACAGAGAGAACACCCCCAACTTTCACCCAGTGCCCACCCAGCCTGATTAACATACCAGAACCTGGAATCTGAATTCAATACACAGAGCCTAGAGCCCCTGGGTGACTCAGTCATTTAAGCATCTGTCTCTTGATTTCAGCATGGGTTCATGAGCTCAAGCCCTGCATTGGGCTCCTTGCTGACAGCACAGAGCCTGCTTGGGTTCTGTCTTTCCGTCCCCCTCCCTTCGCCTCTCCCCTGCTTATGTGCATCCACAAAATAAATAAACATTTATTTATACATAAACTCTCTCAAAATAAATAAATAGACGTTTTTTACGTGTTTAAAAATAAATACATGCAACCTAAAGCCTAGGCCACCCTAAGCGTTTCTGTTTTAAATTAAAGCACAGAATCAGCATTGGCCTTCACCTGGTGCCCCTGAAGAATTAGGGGACATTGCCTTTCTTGAGCCACATACACACAATTGCCCTTGAGGGATACACCCACACCACACCCCCCAAAATGTAGCATCTGCAACACCCCTCGGTTTGATCTGCCCCCATTCCTGCTCCCGGACGTCTCGGTGAATCTGCATGAGCCAGGGACAATAGAAGCCCTCGTGTCCTAAAGGGGGGACAGGGATGAAATGTAAAACTGTCAAGACTGGGCAACCCTCCATGGAGACCAGAAAGACATAAATGGCTCCATGTCCAAAGCAGGTGAGAACGGGAATCTGTGGGTCCAGAGCACACCCTGTCCAGGGTACCCCTCAATGCCCCATGAGAAGGCTTTGGCTCCTTAACCAAATTCACCTTTGATGGGCACCTGCAGTTCACAAGCCCAACAACCACAAAGGGAAAGAGAGGCTTGTTACAAGACCCCGCACCAGCCCTTTCACCCCTGGGGGTCCTGAATCCCAATCCCAACTTCCAGTCCGGCTTTTCCATTATGCACACAGCCTTTTCCGCCCTCCACAGTCTGCCAGACAAAACCGTTTTCCTTTCCTAGTTGAGCCTACTGGGAATGGCCCTGGCTTAGAATCCACTCTGCCACACCAACCTCTCACAGGATAATATGGACAAGTCACTGAACGCCTGCACCTTCTCAGCTAAGATCTGTGAAGCTTCCGGCACAAAATAGGGGCTCAACCAGCACTAATGGGGAGTCTGCATGAGCAGAACGGGGGTCAGTCCCCAAATACTCAACAACCTCTTTGTTTTAGACACATGTCTTAATACATCTGTCCTTCGTGGGGGGAACGCCCCACCTGGCCTGCCTGGGGATGCAGCGCACTTTCGCAGGCCACATCAGGGCTGCCGGTCCCCAGGCCGCACAGCGAGGCAGGACACAGGGCACTCAAACTTGTGTGCACACAGCAGGGACTCGAGACATATTTGCCAGGTGAACAAAAAGTTGTCAGATAAGAAGACCCACATCATGAAGCCCGTGAGGCCAGGGTGGTAGGGAGGTTCCACGCAAATGGATGCATTCATGCCAGTGGCTGCACATTCACACATTTTTTTCAAAAGTCACACCTAAAGTAAGTACAACTATAAAATGATCATCAGGAATGCGACAATGGGACGCAAAACTCAGATTTTTTTTATACACGAAAGACAACCTGAATATGAAACTCAACTCGAGGGGCACCTGGGTGGCTCAGTCGGTTAAGTGTCCGACTTAGGCTCAGGTCATGATCTCACGGTTCGTGAGTTCAAGCTCCACATCGGGCTCTGTGCCGACAGCTCAGAGCCTGGAGCCTGCTTCAGATTCCATATCTCCCTCTCTGTCTCTGACCCTCCTTTGCTCACGCTGTCTCTCTCTCTCTCTGTCTCTCTCTCTGTCTCTCTCAGAAATAAATGAAACACATCATAAATAAATAAATAAATAAAAACAAAGAAGAAACTCAAGAGATGAAGTTCAGCATATAAAGAGCATCCACTGATGGAGTATTGATGTCTGCTGCAAAGAACTAAATAAACTGGCATTGTAATACTCCAAACAGAACCGAAATGACATAGCCAGGCTGGAATACAAGAGAAACCCTGGATGGACCCTGAGTGGAACAGACACTGGACACGGCTGGGGCAGCGGCAGCGGCAGCCGGCAGAGCTTGCATCTGGAAGCAGCAGCGGCATCCGGACTTAGACTCCAATAGGGTGAAAGGGACCGCAAAGCTTTCTCAACAACAGCAGAAGCAAACAGCCAAAATCGCTGCTATAGAAGGTGACAGGGCGGTGGGGAGAGTGCCTCCACCTCTCCCCCCACTCACAAAAGGAGACTGAAAAGAGGTCAAGGCCAAATCCTGCTCCTCACTGGCTTTGTGACAGTATCAGCAATATGCCCAGTGCGGGAGCACAGCAAAAGTTGCTATCCGCATGGAAGGCGCGATGAGCGGTGCAGAGTCATCAGACAAAACCTCACAGGGAGGACAGACGAGAAAGGGAGAGAACATGAACGCAATGGAATCCACAGAAACAATTAATTCTCTCACTCACAAGGAGCCTGCACGCCAAAATTTCAAAGCACATAAAACAAAGCTTCAAGGAAGAAAGACACGTAAGTAATAAAGACAACAGTATGAATTCATTCCAGATATAACTAAGTTTATAGAAAAGCCTAGCAAAAACTTTAACATAAGCATGTTTAAAATTTTAAAGCGGTAAACAAAGCATCCCGTACCTCCATAAATAATTTTAAATTAGGAATAAAAAGTAAATAAATGAAATAAGAACAGATCCATATGAACGAGAACCAGTTATAACATCTTAAAAATGAAATGTATAGGCACTAAAAATGTTTTAAATGTACAAGATGGGATAAACTCTAACAAAAACACAGTCCAGAATAGAGAGTAAAATGAATACAGAACTGAAGGTCACATCAAGTGCAAAGTACGCCACTGATTTTTTAAAATGTTTTAATGTTTATTTATTTTGATAGAGAGAGAGACAGGGAGAGACAAAGCACAAGCCGGGGAGGGGCAGAGAGAGAGGGAGACACAGAATCTGAAGCAGGCTCCAGGCTCTGAGTTCGCTGTCAGCACAGAGCCCGACGCAGGGCTTGAACTCATGAACCGTAAGATCATGACCTGAGCCAAAGTCGGACGCTTAACTGACTGAGCCACCCAGGTGCCCCACATTTATTTTTTAATGTATGTAAAACCTATTGAAAGTCAAGAGGGTATTGTGAAGATCACTCTGTAATGTATAAAGATATCAAATTGCTATAATGTATACCTAAAATTAATAGGCTATTCTATATCAATTGTACTTCATAAATATTTTTTCTTAAAAAGCAGCAGGAATAATAGATTGAAAGACTTTAAGATTTATCAAATTGAAGTTCTTGAAGCTGGGAATAGCAGAGAATTCATATTTGAGAACTTAAAAAATAGCTAAGAATTTTAGAGAACCGGAGAAAGACATAGTCTTTAGCTTGCAAGAGTAGCCAGGAAGAATAGATTTTAAAATGTATGCCTAAGTAGCATAATGATATGCAGAACATGGAAAATAAGAAAATTAACCTCAAAAGCTTCCAGGAGAAAGAAAAGCAATTGTCTATGAAGGAATGATAATTACAATAGCAGTAGATTTCTCCTCAGCAACAAGAGATTCCAGAAAGTAATGAAGTAATAGCTTTAAAGTGATGGGAAAAATTAAAAAATAAATAACCTTAGCCAAGGATTCCAAATCAGTTGAACTATCAATCAAGAGTGAAGCAATCAACAACAAAAGCAAAATTATCTGATTAAAAAATAGGCAAAATCCCTTAAAACACATTTCTCCAA